AAAAAAAAAAAAAAAAAATATATATATATATATATATATATATATATATATATATATATATATTATGGAACCGAATTGAAAATTTAACTATATAGTAAACATTATTTAAAAATTAAAAATTAGAGACGTATACTTTATTGATTTTGGACCAAACCATTTAAATTTAGATTTTATCAACCTTAACCCATCACCAAATTAAGTTTAATTATCTGATCAAATGGTCCCGCTTTAAGGGTTCTTTTTTTTGGTTGACTAACCAAATTTGTTATAAAAAAGGTTAATTGAAGCAAAAGGTATTTCAAAATTTCAAATCTCCCTACTAAAAAAAAAAAGTGACAAATGAGAACGTGGGGAATAAATATCGACCCCATAAACGAATTAGTAAGCCCTACAACACAATAGATTTACCATAACAATGTCTTACCCGGTAAGGGATCTTGCATGTGGAAGATGGAATTGACAATAAAGATACAGACTTTGTAGATTCAAGAAAAATCGGTCAATCATTTTTCATGCCCATATGAAACTATCGAACCACCAAGCATGGCGGAGTTGAAATGTCCAAAAGATCTCTTTTCTAAGAAGAGGGAAACTTGTCTCGCCCCATTTAAGATCCCTCCCAAGGAATTAACTTCATTAATATTATTCTCGAGCACGACTCAACCGATCATAGCATTATACTCTTGAGGCATAAAGTTCTAAATAAGATGCTAAAAGTAGAGTAACTAAGTTTGTGGTTCAGCCCATCATTTTTCTTCCTTACCCCTTTTTCCACATCTTAAAGAATGACTTCGACCTCCCAAACTGAAAGAGACCCACATAATGAGATTTAGGCAACCTCCTAAGGACCACTTCAACAAGTATCAGTTCTTGCTTATTCTTTACTCAACACAATCTGGTTGTATTAAACAGTTCTCTCTCTCTCTCTCTCTACTAAAATGACCTCAAATATCTAAAAACAAAAATGGATTTCAGCAGCAAACATGATTCAGAAATCATTCTCCCTATCAATCCCATACTCCCACCAACAATCTTCTGAAGAAGCAAGAACAGTTTTCAGCTCAAAGCTGAATAATCGAACAAACTCTGCAAAATGGGGAGAAACAGAAAAAAAGGAGAAAAGAACAAACGCTAAGGTAGGGCGTATCAACCACTCGCACACAAGCACTGTGAGATCCTACATCGGTTGGAGATGGAAACGAAGTATTCCTTACAAGGATGTGAAAACCTCTCCCTGACAGACGCGTTTTAAAATCGTGAGGCCCAAAACAGACAATATTTGTTAGTGGTGGACTTGGGCTGTTACTAATGGTATCAGAACCAGACACCAAGCGGTGTGCCACGAGAACGTTGGACCCTCAAGGGGGATTGAATGTGAGATCCCACGTCGGTTGGAGAGGGAACAAAGTAGTCCTTATAATGGTGTGGAAACCTCTCCCTAATAATCGCATTTTAAAACCGTGAGGCTAACGACGATCTGTAACAAGCCAAAGTGGACAATATCTACAAGCATTGGGTTTGGGTTGTTACAAGGACTCCATAGATGGTAAAACATAAGCAAAGCTAAAGAAATGAATTTAGCATTATACAGATGAGACTTCCTACAGCAAGCAACAGAAAGGCAATCTGATTCTACAACTTACCCTGCAACCACAAACTAGAAAGATCATTTTGCAGCAAATTCTCAAACGTGACCAAAAGTTAACCAACATGCCAGCTGAAGCATGATCTCCAACAAGCAGAAGGATCAGAAAGAACAAGATAATGATAGAGAAACAGCATAAAGAGGCTTTTGACATTTCATGTCTGAGCGAGCTCTATATGTGGTAGTCACTAATAGTATGACATGAAAAATAAACATGGACAACAAAAAGCAGAGAACAATTCCAAGTTTCTACTACACGGGTTGAAAGGAGGGTAAAACAAAAAACAAGAACATCAGAAAAATGAGAGGCAGACCCGACTTCAACAATATCTATTTGTAAATCAGCTATATCACTTGCATTTGTATGGCAGAAGCAAAAGATGGCAATAAGAACTAGAAATTACTCTTTGATGCCATTTCAAAGCTCGAATTCTTCGTCCCTGAGAGCCAACTCCGCAGCCTCTTCTTCTTCCTCGTCAAGAACGAAGTACTCATTTCTCTCCACAGGCCTAAACATGTAGAACATCACCATATAAAATACAAGGCTTGCAATCTCCTCAGCTGCATTACTAACCCACTGATACTTGTATGCTGCAATGGTCTTGAGAGCAAAAACAACGATCCTTGTAAAATACAAATATCCAATCACAACAATGTAGAACTGCCTAAAAAGGGTGAGCTTTGCCAAATTCCTTGCAGCCTTCCCGTCGGTCTTCGATGTCTCTCGAAGAGATCGAATCGACCAAACAATTGGGAAAATTATGGCACAGCAACATATGATATCTACCAACAAGAAAACCTGATTCCAAGTGACCCAATCCTTAATAAAAGGACCAGTCTCACCGATCACAACCGAGGCGACATTAGCCAAGACTTGAAGTGGGATCACAATCATCAAGACCTTCTTCTCCTTCTCTTGCAAGAACGGCTTCAAAAACGACCACCCAGTTCCGATCAAAACAATCACCGTGAAAAGCAAAACAACCCGAATAAATTGAAAAATGTAGAACAACACATCCCAACCGTGAGGCGTTCCGGTGATTTTGACATAATGCTTGTCCTCAGCAGCGCATATGAGATTCAACGCTTTCATCAACAGCAATCCACTCATCAACAAGTGGATCCTGTGAACACTGCGCTTATTCGTGACACACGCGTAGATCCAAAGCCCTAAGAAGGCAAGGTACGCGAGAAAAAACACAAAATACAGCGAAGGGAGCTGAGTAAGGCCAGCGGAGAGATAGTCCTTCGAACCATCGCGGTCCAAGTTGTACACCTCCGTCCTCACCTCCATAGAAACCGATGATTCCGGAACGCAATTAGCGAAGAAAAGGCTATATTCATTGGGAGAAGAAACAGGATATGAATGGTTGAACGAGCTCTGAGGCGGAGGAGATAGATCCCGGAAGGTAAAGAGGCGCAAGATATAGTGTGAATCAAGAACGCAAAACTGAGGGTTTTGCTGGATCTCGAGGAGAACTTGAAGAAGCGCTTCTTCAGATAACAGGAAGAATCCAAGCCGAGAAGGCTCGGTTTCTCCAACCGACGTAGCAACAGAGACCGATTTGACTGAAATGGAGACCTGGCCGGTGTGAGTGAATCCAAATTTCTCGAAGAGAATCATGGGGCGGTTGTCGGATGAGATCTTGAGGGATTTTATCTCAGCGGTGGAGGAGGCGGCGAGGAGGCCGAGGAGGAGGAGGAAGAGAGGGAGGCGGAAGGGTGATGTCGTCATTTCGATTGCCACCGAAGATCGTCCCCAGCGAAGCGTTCAGCGGCGAGGTTCGAGAAGATCGAATACAGGTGCGGATCGGACTTAGAAGGAGAAGAATGTGACGCTGGCGTGAATTGAGCGGTTAAGAATATGTAATGACGGAAATGCCCTCGCGCTCAGATCTTCTCGGCAGGGGATTGAAAGAGATGAAACGATGTCGTTTAATAGGGTTTTGTGTTAGTTAACCCAGGATTGTCGGTTTGGATTTGGAAGGTCTTGTTCCCGAAACCGGCCAGGCAGGTAACAGTCCTCAATTCTTCAACTTCATATCTTACGTGTTATTAACTTATTTATTTATTTTTTTTATTATATATTTTGTATTTAATAAATTATTAAATGGTAATATGGGATCTTAAAATTTTAATTTTATTTCTAATAAATGACCGATATATCAATATTTTATTAATTAAAATAACAAATATAATAAACGTAAAATTATATTTTGTGTTTAATGAAACATTTAATATTTAAAATTGTTGACAACAAATTTATTAGAATATTTTAAAAAAAAAAATGAAGATGAAATATAATATGGCCATACTTTGACCATAGAG